CAAAATTAACTAATTAAGCAAATTAAAGTGTCGGGTTTAACTCAATGGGAGAAAGCTCTGGGAGAAACACCGGGGTTCACTACCTATCCTATCCAGATTAATTCACATATTCTAATCAGTTTAATCCAATTCTCTACAGCCAGGATATCACGAATGTGCTAGCTATCCCTGTCGGGAATTACTACGTACTAAATAATCAATTCAAATCCTACTGTCGTAGCTCAATGAATTAACTATGTAGTATGAAGATCGATATCCTATTTAAGACCACATAGCACCTTATTTAATCCACTGTCGCTTCGATAAGTTACTATGTCAAATGAAATATGCTCGGTTAATAGGGTTTCACTGTCTCTAATAACCTAATCAACTACAAATCGTTGTATTGGTCGCCAGTCAACACAAAGCATTAAGAAATTTCATCAAATAGAGATTGGAAGAAAAGAATCATGAATCAATCCATCAAATCAAGAAATAGCTACATCCTATGGTGTTTCCCCCAGAAATCGGGGTTTAGTTCATGACGAAATTAAGATAAATCGATAAGGTTTTGTTCATCATATTCTAAAACAACAAGAAACAACTAAGGTTTAGAAAATCCAACCCACTAATCGCTCTCGTTGAATTCAGCTCAAGCCTTGGAAAAACTGATCGCCAATTGCCAATCGCATCCCAAGCTTGCTGCTGCTTTTCTTTTCTCCACTGCGCCTCTCTTTCACTTTTTCAGAATTCTGCCCGATCCCCTTAAGAAATAAAAGTGCCGCCTTTTTTTTATATCTGCCTCTCGTCCCTCCGTTTTCTTATTTCCCTCGTCCACTTTAATTTCGTTTTCCTGGAAAGAATTCCGTCCCTATTCCGCCGCCAGCCCAAAAGAAGATCCCCTTCAGGCCCACCAGACCACTTCCGGCTTGGCCCAGCCGCCTGCTACCCACAAACTCCGCCTCTATCCACAAAATTGCCCAGCCCGCCCACCTGCCTTTTCTTTTCTTTGTCCCCAGAATTCCACCTGTTCCAAATTGCCTCCGTCCCCCACTAATCGCCAGCTGCTTTCCCCATCAGAATTTCGCCCTCTCCAAATTAATTACTCTCTCCTTTGGTGCCGTGTCCCAATTATTCCACCCCAGAGAATTAATTCCCCAAAGAATTTTGTGCCGCCAGCTTTGTCCACCTCCAAATTAATTCCATTTCCCTCAACCCAATATGTAATTTCCTGGCCCAAGACTTTTTCTTTCCGTCCAAAAAATAATTCCGCCCAGGCCCAAATATGTCCCAGTCATTCCGTTCCCTGGCCCAAAAAATATAATTCCCCTGCTCCAAATATTGCTTCTTTTTCGTGCTTTCTCCACCTGTAATACATCAAACTCATGGCACTAGGCGGTAATGGGTTTTCAACCATTCTCGGGTTAGCGAGCCCTAAAATAGCACTAATTGGCTAAAACATACCATGGATAATCACATAAAGTCCAAAAATTCAATATGTTAAAGCCGATTATCAGTAGACCCAAGAAAATCTGGGTAAAAAAGACAATATGAATCTTGTTCTTGCAGAAATGTCTTCAAGTGAGCATGGAGACATCTAAGTGGATTATGGACAGTGGTTTCTCACACCACATGACAGGTAACAAACCTCTATTTTCAAACCTCAAATTAAGAAATTTTGGAAAAGTATTTTTCGGGGATAATAACACAACTGAAATCATAGGTAAAGGTCAAGTTGGAGATAAACCATCAATTAATAATGTCATGCTTGTTAATGGGCTCAAACACAATCTGTTCTCCATAAGTCAGATGTGTGGAAAAGAATGCATAGTTGGGTTTAAACCAAATTTCTGCTATGTTGAAAACATTAAGACTAGTCAGGTGTATACTCTTGATCTAAATGACAAAACCAGTTTTAATGAAACATGTCTTTTAAGTTTGGAAAGTGAACAAGAAAAATGGCATCGTCGACTAGGGCATGTAAACGTAAGTGTGTTAGCTAAACTAACTCGACTGAATCTGTCAAGGGTCTTCCTAAGATTAATGAGAAAAAGGATTTCTTCTGTGATGCTTGTGCCAAGGGTAAACATACTAGATCTAGCTTCAAAAGTAAGACTGCCATCTCTACTTCTAGGGTACTTGAAATTTTACACTTAGACCTATTTGGGCCTACAAACATTGTCAGTTACGGAGGAAAGTCATATGCCTTTGTCATAGTTGATGACTTCTCAAGATTCACTTGGGTTTTGTTCTTGGCCAAAAAGGATGAAGCTTTCTTAAGATTCAAAACCCTTGTTAAACGTTTGGAGAACGAGAAATCAACTAAGGTTTATAGCATTCGTAGTGACCATGGAGGGGAATTTAGTTCAGAAAACTTTGAGAACTACTGCAATGAAATCGGAATATTTTATAATTTTTCAGCGCCCATGACCCCTCAGCAGAACGGGGTAGTAGAAAGAAAGAATAGAACTCTAATTGACATAGCCAGAACCATGCTGAATGATTATGGCTTACCTAAGTACTTCTGGGCAGAAGCCATAAATACTGCATGTTATATAACTAATCGAGTTTTAATTAAGTCAGACATAAAGAAAACACCTTATGAACTTTGGAAAGAAAAGAAACCTAACATGGGATACTTCCATCCTTTTGGCTGCAAATGTTTTGTACTAAACACAAAAGACAACCTTGGAAAATTTGATGCAAAGTCGGATGAGTCTGTCTTCTGGGATATTCTGAAACTAGCAAGGCTTACAGAGTATTCAACAAATGGACCCTCAAGGTTGAGGAGTCCGTTAACGTGATATTTGATGAGTCTGTTACTGAGATCACAGATTTTGAGGATAATGATGAGGAAGACTTTGGGCTTGGACAGAGTGCTTTTGAAAACAGCAAGAAAGAATCCTCGCAGGAAGGTGAGAATGACACAGGAGTAGTCTCCGAGGATACTGAGTTTCCAGGAAAAACATCCTGCTGCTCACATCATCAAAAGGCATTCCCCTACTCAAATTATCGGTGAACTAGGCCAAAGTATGACAACTCGATCTAAAGTTCAACCTAATCACTCTACTCTGGTATCCTTAATTGTACCAAAAAAATGTGCAAGAAGCATTGCTTGATGAGTACAGGACTAAGTCCATGTTCAAAGAGATGCATCAATTTGAAAGGGCTAAAGTTTGGGAATTAGTCCCTAAACCAGAAGGTAGAGCAATCATAGGAACCAAGTGGATTTATAAAAATAAATTTGATGAAATAGGAACAATACTTAGAAACAAATCGCGTCTAGTAGCCCAAGGGTATACTCAAGAAGAAGGTATTGACTTCGATGAAACTTTTGCCCATGTTGCCCGTCTTGAAGCCATTAGGATGTTGTGTGCTTTTGCTAGCTCAAAACACTTTAAACTGTACCAAATGGATGTAAAAAGTGCATTTCTAAATGGCGAATTAAAAGCAGAAGTTTACGTCTCACAACCTCCTAGTTTTGAGGATCACAGATACCCCAATCATGTCTACAAGTTAAAGAAAGCCATGTACGGATTAAAACAAGACCCTAGAGCCTGGTATGATAAGCTTAGTTCATTCTTATTGGAAAATGGTTTTCGAAGAGGACAAGTAGATAAAACCTTATTCATAAAACAAAAACAGGAACACATCTTACTTGTGCAAATATATGTGGGTGATATTATTTTTGGGAGTTTATGTCAGAGCTTATGTACAGAATTTGAATCTGCAATGAAAGGAGCCTTCGAAATGAGTCTAATGGGAGAATTAACATATTTTCTTGGACTACAAATTAAACAAACTTCTTCTGGGACACTTATTTGTCAAACCAAATATCTGCAAAACATGCTCAAATGTTTTGAATTAGGAAACTTAAAATTAGCCGTAACTCCCATGGCTACAACCCTCAAACTTGACAAGGATGAGTCAGGGAACCCTGTAAACGAAAAACTCTATAGGGGAATGATTGGCGCATTGCTCTATCTCACTACAAGAAAGCTACACATCATTTTTAGCGTCTGCTTATGTGCTAGGTTTCAGAGTTCCCCTAAGGAAAGTCACTTGTCATATGTTAAACGCATTTTTAGATATCTTAGCGGTACTCCTAGTCTAGGACTGTGGTACTCGTGTCATTCTAGTCTAGACCTCATAGGATACTCTAATTCTAACTACGCTGGATGTCTAATGGATCGGAAGAGCACCTCGGGAACATGTCATTTCCTTGGCACGTCTCTTGTTTCCTGGTTTAGCAAGAAACAAAATTCCGTTGCTCTCTCAACAGCAGAAGCAAAGTATATAGCAGTTGGGAGCTGCTGCACTCAGCTTCTGTGGATGAAGCATCAACTAGTGGATTATGGGCTGCATTTAGGGTCAGTGCCCATTCTCTGTGATAACACGAGCACCATTAACATGTCCAAAACCCCAGTTCAGCATTCTCGAACAAAACATATAGACGTTCGATATCACTTTCTTAGGGATTTAGTTGAAGAAGGTCAGATTGACATAGAATTTGTTCCTACTTGCCAATGGGCTGATATCTTCACAAAACCCCTAGGATCTGATACCTTCCTCACCATTCGCCGAGAACTAGGGATGTTTACTTGGCCTGAGGTGGAAAATCTCAAGTAAGGAAGGTCCTTGATCCGTCCTACTCTTCATCCCCAAGGGAAACCCTTTCCTAATCTTCACTTACCCTTTTCTCTGTGATCTACGATCTTCTGTCATTAACTAGGGTCACCTTCCTTATCCTCGTTTGACTTTCCCCTTACTCTTCCCTTCTATAAAATCCTTGCTCTTCATCTTCCAAGACTCACTTCTTCTCAAACTTAACTCAGCCGTTCAAAACTCTTCCAATGGCTGCTACCAATCCCCATGTGGCTCTCCAGCTTGCTCAAGCGGCCATTTTCAATGGCAAGTGCTTCGGCAATGTTGAGGACTACTCGAGATATCTGCTCAAAATTTAAGATCGAGAGTTGTGCCCCTGCATTGCACTCGATCCATCTTGCTTTAATAGGTATGATATGAACATTCCTGTGCTTATCAACCGCCTTGGGTGGACTGACATTCTCCAAAATCAGCACTTTGGCTTTCTTCCTGAGGCCGTCCGCATGCAGCAGCTCAACATTGACAGTGATCAAGTAGTTGAACACTATAGTGCTAAAAGACGGGGGAATGGTATTATAACAAGGTTTCATGTTCGCATCCCCCGTCTTTTAGCACTATAGTGTTCAACTACTTGATCACTGTCAATGTCGAGCTGCTGTCACTGCTCCTCGGGATCCCTGTCAATGGTTCCGAGGTCATGGATGCTGTCGACTTTCAATCTGTGGGGTTTGATGACACGACTGCCTTCAGTCGCTATACCCAAGATACCTGGAGGTATTACCCGAATATGCTGTCAACTGGACGTCTTCCTGATGATCTGAAAGTACTTCATTACTATATAACTCGGGTCTTTCTTCCCCACTCCTATGGTCACTCGACCATTCATCCTACTGATATGTGGATCCTGGCCAGTGCCAAGGAGAACCGTGCAATTAGCTATCCTCATCTTTTGTTTGGTCACATGGCTTCCTACCATGACGAAAACTATGAGGGTGCTCTACCCTTTGCACCCCAGATCACCCTGCTTCTGCTTGCTCTTGGGGTGGATCGGCGCTACAAAGTAGCCTGAGTGGATCTCATTGATCGGCTTCAGGCTCAGTTCGTGCTTCGGAAAGTCGATGCTTCTGTAGGACGTCGTCGCCCTCGAGTCAATGCTCCCGGGGGAGGTGATGCTGGTGCTGTAGTTCTTCATTTTGATGACGCTCTAAGCATCGCAGATCTAGTTGATGAACCAGCAAGGCCTAGTAACACTAAGGAGCTTCCCTGTGAAGACGGTGAGTCCGATGACAGCAACTCTGAAGCAGGAATATCAGACTATATGTCCTCGCCATCCTATCCATTCTAAATAAGAGTTATCTATATGAGGGGGAGCTAGTCTTTGGGGGAGGTCTGTAGCAGAAACCTAGGAATTATCACATGGTTCGGTATCAAATAAAGTTCTTGTTCTAAAGAACGTAGGAAGAGTCAGTAATTGTTCTTGTTTTCTGTCTTTTGTCTATCTGTCGAGTCATGGTCCTTGAGTGTCTTTGAGTCGCTTGTACCCTTCGATATCTATTTTATATGAAATAAAAGAAGCTATGTTCCTTAGTGTCACTCTATGTCTCAAAATATTTGTCTAGAACAGTCTGCACGTAATAAGTTTGCTTCAGGGTGTGTAGGAACCAAAGGCACAACATTAAGGGGATCATTGACTGGCTTAGGGGGAGATTGTTGGAGGAAATCCAGCCAATAGATCAACAATAAGAAGGAATATGGCAAGAAAGATCAACTTGTGGATCTGGAAATTCTCATAGACTTGGTAGGTTAAGCAAAACAAGATCAGAATGATTCTGCAGTAAAAGCCAACGACTACACTACACAAAGAAATTGGAAGTTCCCCTTAATACTATGAAGTTTCCTTGTTCTACAATTAACGGTCATCTGCCAGCAAGTATTTGAAGCAGTACCCAGACGAAGAGAAGACACTTTTTGATAGGATCAATACCCTCCACTAAGCTAACGAAATTGCTTGTAGTATTGAGTTGAAAAGAGTCTCTAACTGTGATTCGGGGAGAACCAGTTCAGGGAGTGTGCGTTGGAATACACAGTTGCTGGATAGCTGGGGTAGATTGTGTGGGTAGTCGTCGTAGGTCCACGATTGAATCACTCGACTGTTAGTTTGAGAACCTGTGTTGAGAGCAGAAACTTACATACCCATAGTGAAACGTCGAATACCACACATCAGTGGATATTCGACCGTGGACTAGTCGGTAGTGAAATTGCCTACCGGAAACCACGTAAAAATATTGTGTCGGCTCTTGTCTTCTTTCTTTGTGAACCCCTTTGTCAAAATTGCTTTCTGTTCTTGTTGGATAAGTGCAGGGTAACAAGGCGAACATGGGAACTGGGAGAAGAAGACGATCAACAAACGACGGTGTCGTTTCAACCAAGCTGAACGCTTAACAATAGCCACCAGGAGGAAATTGGGCTTGTTAACACACTCAACGTACTCAAGTCCCATACCATAATTAAGTTGAAATTGAAAACCGTGGCCCAAGTTCCTAATAGTCTGAAAGAAGAACTCAATTTCATTTCCATCTCATTTCTCGCATTTTCGCTTTGTCTTTAACTCCCAAATCGAAATTAGGGTTCTTGGAGAAACTCTGTCTTGCAGGCGTTTTGGTAGAAAAGAACGAGAGGAATCTCGCGTTAGATTCCATTTACACTTGAACGATGCATAGGAGAACTACACCACCACTGAAAAGAGCTGCTCGCGGTGGTGTATGCAATTGACAAGTTTCGACCTTATTTGGTTTTCTCCCATGTGGTGGTTTACACAGACCACTCCGTGATTCGCTATCTAATGAGCAAGGCTGATGCAAAGCCTAGGCTCATCCGCTAGATCCTACTTTTGCAGGAATTTGATATCGAGATCCGGGATAAGAAGGGAGCCGAAATATTGCTGCAGATCATCTTTCACGATTGAAAGCCTCCCCGGTGGACAACTTCGTGGAAGAGATCAACGAATCCTTCCCGGTTGAGCGATTGCTGGCGATGACCTTGGGAGAGGACGTTGCCCCTTGGTATTCTGACCTTGGCAAGCCGCTACTGAAGGGTATCGCCACTCATGCAAAGCGCAAGTTCTTCTCCGACCTGAAGCATTATTTCTGGGAGGATCCTTACCTCTTCAAGATCGAAGCAGATGTCGTAATCTGGCGCTGCATCATGGAGTACGAGATGGGAGACATCCTGTCCCAATGCCACGAGGGACCAACTAGCGGTCACCATGGAGGGAACCTCATGGCGCGGAAGGTGCTACAGTCGGGCTTCTACTGGCCCTCACTCTTCAAGGATGCAGACACCTTCGCACGACAATGCGACCACTGAGAGGTCAGGTAACTTCAAACCGTTTACCTTTGCTTTGTTTCGATTTAAGTCTCATAGATTTCAACCAAAATCCAATCCGCTAGATAATGTTTCAAACAATGGAAGTAGGGGTACATGGTCCGACCCAAGTGGATATTTAAACATACTTGTCCTATATTGCACCCATCTAAGGTTTATACTTGGGCCTTAGGTGGGATTTTGTTGTGATATTCGAGACGAGTCAAGTTTTTGACGCCATTGCCGGGGAGCTTTGGTTCGTTATCTTGAAAAAGTTGTTTGGTGTTAATCTAGCTTTTAATTTTCAGCTTTGTTTGTTTGAGTTCTTTGCTTGTGCTAGACGTGGTGTTGTTCTCTAAGTGTGTGCAGGGAGGTGCATGACCTGGAGCAATCTGGCGCCTGTAGTACCGCTTGACGAGAACATCAACCGGACTCTCCGACTCCGAGCTCGGGAGAGGGAGTTAGCGAAAGCAAGGAGAAGTGAAGAAAGGGGACAACAATTGTGTCCCGGAGTTAGTGGAGTAGAAGTTGAAGGAGTAGTTGAGTTTGGAGTTTATATGGCAGAGAACTAAAAAGGAGCAGCCGCCCAAGCTCACAACCACAATGATGAGGCGGCAGAGGAGGAAGCCCCAAGGACAATGGGGCATTACATGGCCCCACGGCTGGCGGACATTCAATCGCCTATCCTACACCCACCCGTGGCGGCCAGCAACTTCGAAATCAAGCCGACCCTCGTGACAATGATTCAGAACAATGCTTTGTTCCATGGGCACACAAGTGAATCACCGAGGGAGCACGTGAAAAGATTTCTTGAGCTCACAGGGACTTTGAAGATAAATGGCGTGCCGACGGTAGCTTTGCAATTAAGGCTTTTCCCCAACTCACTTTAGAGGAAAGCACTTCGTTGGCTCAACGACCGGCCGCTTCGTTCAATTACCTTGTGGGATGTTCTTCTCAACAAATTCATGACCCGCTATTGCCCGCCTTCAAAGACGACCGAGTGAGAAAGAAGATCACCCTTTTCGAGCAAGATGAAGATGAAACCTTGAGGGATGCTTGGGAGAGATTCTTCGATTATTTTCTTCAATGCCCTCCCCATGGATTCGAAGAAAAATTTCGTATTGAGACTTTCTACGATGGGATCATACATGAAGACAAGATCCTCATTGACTCTATTTGTCAAGGGAGGTTAATGAATATGACCCCGCCACAAGTGACCCAATTGCTAGAAGATATGACCCTTAAAGGATATGATTGGGGTTTGACGAGAAGCGGGTAGAGGAGCAATGAAAGAGGAGTAAAAAGTGTGGGAGCAAGTGCTCCACTCGAAGCGAAACTTGATAAGTTGATTGAAGTGATCATTGAGGACAAGAAGCAAGGGGAGAAAGCAGTGACATCTAGTGGCTGGGATGCAAGTGTGGGCTAGGAGGAAGCTGAGTGTCACATGGTGAGTGGGGAACCGACTCAATGTGAGCAGTTGCACTCCCTTGCCCCTGGACATGCTGACCGGATGTCTAGCCTGGAGGAGTTAGTGACGACCTTTGGTTCCTCTAGCTCGAAGAAGTTTGAAAGAATTGACAGGTTCATAGGAGAGGCGACAGAGAAATTCTCAGCAATAGAGGCGGGGTTGTAGAGTCACCAAACACTCTTGACAACCCTGACCACAAGGGTGAGGATTATCTCACAAGCAGCTCGTTCCCGTAAGCAAACCGATGAAATGGAAGTGGAGCGTTTACTCTTCGAAGTGGAAGAGAGGCTAGGGAGCTACCCCCAAAGAAGAAAGCGCTCTCCTCATAGGAGCAACAGGGGGCTGCTATCCCTTCCGAGCAACATGAGGTCACGAGTGAAACAGAAAAGGAGAAGGCCGCTTTGATCCCCCAACTGGAGCAGAGGAAGAAAAAGGAAACTCCAACTCTTCCCTATCCTCCTCGACTCTTAAATGACCATATGGCAGCAGAGTTTTCCCACTTTATGGAGTTGATGAACCAGTTGCACTTAAACATCCCCTTCATGGAGGCCGTCACCCAGATGCCCAAGTACGCAAAATACTTGAAGGGCCTCCTTTCCAACAAGAAGAAGCTGGAGGGGACAGCTATGGTGAGCTTGAATGAAGAGTGCTCTGCCATCCTGCAGAACCACCTGCCCACAAAGCGCAAATATCTAGGGGTTTCACTATCCATTGTTTTATTGGCAATATGTGCATAGGGAAATCCTTGGCGGATCTAGGAGCCAGTATAAATGTGATGCCTTATAAGTTGTTTCAAAAGCTAGACATATGTTAACCTAGAACTACTAGGATGAACATTCAGTTAGCGGATAGGTCTATTGTACGGCCTAAGGGTGTCGTGGAGGACTTGCTCATTAAGGTGGACCCTCTCATTTCTCCGGTCGATTTCCTCATTTTAGACAGTGATGAAAACGTTGATGTCCCTCTCATCTTGATTAGACCTTTCTTAGCTACTGCCAAGGCCTTGATTGATGTGCATGGGGGGGAGTTGGTGCTTAGGGCAGGGGAGGAAGAAGTTACATTCTCCATTGATGATAGCATGAAGTTTTCTCATCATGATGATTTTGATTATTGCAAAGAGGTCTTTGACTTCATGGAGGCACCCGCGGATGCCCATACTTCTAACCCTTTTGAAGAGTGTTTTTGGTAGGGACGAACAGCTCGAACTCTTCGGAAGAGGAAAGGAAACTTCCACAAGATCAAGAAGTGGAGGCCTTGCCCTCGATGCCAAAAATCCCTACCTTCTTGGAGGAACCTCTCGAGTTGGAGCTAAAGCCTTTGCCTCCACATCTTGAGTACGCTTTTCTGAGAGATGATTGGAAACTCCCAATCATCATCAACTCAAATCTTACACCGGAGCAGAAGGCTGAATTGATTGCGGTCCTGAAGTGTCACAAGAGGGCGATAGCATGGAAGATCACAGATATCCGAGGGATCAGACCGACCTTTTGCTCGCGCAAAATCCACTTGGAGGAAGGTGCCAAACCGGATCGACAACCGCAAAGGCGTGTGAATCCTAATCTGGAAGAAGTGGTGAAGGCCGAAGTGATTAAGCTATTGGATGTTGGGATTATCTACCCCATCTCGAATAGTCAGTGGGTGAGCCCGATTCAGTTGGTACTGAAGAAAGGAGGAATGACGATGGTGGCCAATGAGAAGGAAGAGCTTATACCAACAAGAATAGTGACCGGATGGAGGGTATGCATCGACTATCAAAGGTTGAACGACGCCACTCAGAAATATCACTTCCCTTTGCCCTTCATCTATCAAATCCTGGAAAGGCTTGCTGGACATGATTACTACTTCTTCTTAGATGGGATGTCAGGATACTTCCAGATCCCAATTGCCACGGAAGATCTAGCTAAGATAACATTCACATGCCCCTTCGAAACATTCGCTTACAGGCGCATCCCGTTTGGATTGTGCAATGCCCCAACAAAATTCCAGAGATGTATGGTAACCATTTTTTACAATATCGTGGGGGGAGATAATGGAGGTGTTCATGGATGACTTTCGGTTTTTGGAGATTCGTTTCTTACTGTCTTGCCAACCTGGAGAAGGTCCTTGAGCAATGCAAAGAAACCAATCTAGCTTTGAGCTAGGAGAAGTCACATTTTACGGTGCGAGAGGGCATTGTGTTGGGTCACAAAATATCCATGAGAGGAATTGAAGTGGATTGAGCCAAAGTTGAACCTATAAGAAAGCTACCTCCACCAACCACAGTCAAGGCATCAGGAGCTCCCTTGGACATGTTGGGTTTTACCGTCGGTTCATCGAGAACTTCTCAAAGATTGCATAACCCCTGACCAAGCTTCTGGAGAAGGATGCCCCTTTCCGTTTCACAAATGAATGTTTAGAGGCTTTTAACATCCTCAAGGCAAAGCTTACAGATGCCCCCATAATGGTCTCGCCGGATTGGAGCCTTCCTTTTGAGCTCATGTGTGACACTAGTGACTATGGAGTGGGACCAGTGTTGGGCCAAAGGCGGGGTAGGCATTTTCAACCTATTTGCTACGCTTCAAAGACGTTGAATGATGCTTAGGAGAACTACACAACTACCAAAAAAGAGTTGTTGGCAGTGATCTTCGCTTTCGATAAATTCAGATCTTATCAGGCTCTCAAATGTTATTGTCTACACCGACCACTCCGTCATCTGCTTCTTGATGAGCAAGGCAGACGCCAATCCCCGACTAATCCGATGGATCCTACTCCTTCAAGAGTTTGATGTGGAGATAAAGGACAAACAGGGAGCTAAAAACCTTGCGGCTGACCACCTCTCGCGACTTGAAGGACCGGGAGGGGGTAACTCCTATAGAGATATAAATGACAACTACCCCAGGGGATGAACACAAATGAGAGAAGGAAGTTCTTCTCCGACCTCCGATGCTACTTCTGGGATGATCCTCACCTCTTTCGGATTGGGGCCGATGGGGTCATTTGGAGGTGTGTACCGGAGAAGGAGATGATGGATATCCTAAACTACTGCCACACTGGACAAGCTGGAGGCCATCGCGAAGGCAACCAAACTGCAAGGAAGGTGCTCCAGTCGGGGTTCTATTGGCCAAACCTTTTTCGGGATGCCTACAAATTTGCGAGTCATTGTAACAGTTGCCAAAGGACAGGTAATGTTTCTAACCCAAAAGAGATGCCCCAAATGATTTCCATTACTTGTGAGATTTTTTATGTTTGGGGCATCGAATTCGTGGGGTCCTTTCCCCTCGTATTTTGGTAACAAATACATCCTTGTGGCCATAGACTACGTCTCAAGATGGGTTGAGGCTCAAGCTCTCCCCACCAATGATGCAAGACGAGTCTATTGATTCCTTAAAAAACTGTTTTCAAGGTTTGGGAACCCAAGGGCCATCATTAGCGATCGAGGAGCCCATTTTCAGGGGCAATTCGATAGACTCCTTAATCGCTATGGTGTTACCCATCGGGTGTCAATGACCTATCATCCTCAAACTAGTGGACAAGTCGAGTTATCAAATGGGGAACTGAAAAGGACACTGGAAAAGACCGTGGATGTCACACCCTCACGCATTTTACGCATTTCAATTGTGACACCTGTATGGGTAATTTAAATTCGGATAGTAAAAATGTTATTAATACATTTGCGGTTAAGCCGATAAGTGATTATGAAAATTTCTAAATTAGCTAAGCTTAAATAAATCTATATGGTGTTTGATTCATTATTGTTGAGTATTAAATAATTATATCGTTGGAAACAAATAAATGCCTATTCAAACCTACTCTGATTTCACCCAAGAAAGTCCACAAACCGGAAAATATGGAGGGGGTTTCTGGCCTTGTGTCCATCTCCTTTAATTTCCTCATTTAATTCCTTGCGCCACCTCCTCCTTTGCATGCAAGACCCCATTCCCAATTCATCTCCAAGACCAACCACGTGCCCACTTTTACTTGTAGAGATTTAGTGTTATAATAGGGAATAGGAAGTGGCATGGATAACTATAACCATTCTTTTTTTGAAGCAGAGTGAGAAAAGGGTGGTTATGGAGAGGAATAGAGTTAGTAGGATGCTCTTGGGAGAGTTATTATCAAGTCTCCTCTTTTGCCATTTAAAATACCAGCAAAATAATTACTCTCTAGCATTTCTCTTCACTATTGATGTTAGAGGAGTCGTTGCATGGTGTGGATTAGTTAGCGGCTCATGAATTTTACAAGGTATTCCCTCTAACTTGCTTGATAGTATCGACTGGTCGAGGGGTAATAATATGAGGGAGAAGGAAATTAGGTTAGACTACGTTTTGCACGCTAAATTACCCAGGTAACTATTTTGTGATACTAATTATAGAAGTGACGATAAGATAGAAGTGGAAGGCTACACGAGTGGCGGCTATGTTAAGCACTCGATTCACTTGGGGGAAAAAAACATGTTCTCTTTATTGTGTGAGAAAGCTTGCTTAGTTAAGGACTTAAGGTGGTTGTGGTTAACCACTCGTGGGCACCTGCTAATTATGGATTATGATGGGGAATGGAAGCATTGACCAATTTGTCACCTTTAATTATATTTAAAGTGGAGAAAGATGGGGAGGAAATGAGTTAACGTGGGTGTGGGGGAAAACTAATTGGATTTCATATTATAAAATTAATTGGTTTCATTAGGGTTATAAACTCGAATTAGGTTATACGATTATCATTTATTGTCACGAACTTATAAGCTCCACATACTGAAAGCGTATTGCGTATGTGAATTCTTAAAAGGGGATGGAGCAAAGTGGAACAACGACAAGAGCCAAGTTGCGGCAGTAATTGAGTTGTGAGTAAATTCTAACCTATTAACCGTATGGATACAAATATGGTATTCTAGACATGAAACGGCCCGAATATGGAGCATGAAATGTGTGATTGATAGATGGCTATGACTATATGCATGTGAATGAAATGATATGTGATGAATGATGGGTGAATGTGATGTGTGTATGACTATCTGATGATATGTGAAACATGATAGATGATGATTATGAACGGGAAATGAAATGTGTATCTGATATGAAATGGCCTAAAAGGCTATCTTACACTACGGAAAAGACTACGAGGCAGTGATGGAATAATGAATGGCCTGAATGGCTATACAAGGATACTGGGATAGCCTAATTGGCTATCGTGTGATTACTGGAAAGCCTATAAGGCGAAAATGTGATATTGAAGCCTATAAGGTGATGATGTGATTATATAAATGGTGAATGTAACCATGTGAATCTTATGAATATGTAAATAGACACGTGTAAAATGATTAATGATACTGCTTGGTACTTGTTCTGTGACTAACTAAAGAATTGTCTGATCACCCAATTCAAACTTAATGGCGCCTTTCATGCACTCTATGAGATATGATAATGCGGCTTTATGCCTAGCTCTCTAGGAGAGCGATACCAGGCATGGTCATTGGCGATGCTTAATGCATCTATTGGTGGTGCTTTATGCATCTATTGGCGGTGCCTAAGGCATCTATTGGAAATATTCGGGGGAGTGCATGACCTAGCAAATTAAAGGCTAAAAGACACGTAAACTGGCTAACTTCAATATGTGAATATGTATGTATGTGTGTACATGTGTATGTTGGGTATGATATTACAATGAAAGGAAACATTTATGCGTGCTATACTCGATGGAACATTTATGTGTGCTATACTCGATGAATTATGGTTCTTTATATCAAATATGTAGTTGTGGATATGGGATTGAGAATGAAATATATATATATGTATAGATGAGCAAGATTGGATTATAATGGCATGATTGGTTATACATTTGAGCACATATTCATAGATGATATTGAAGTAGTATGAGAAACATGTTTGAACTATAAAATATTATATGAAATTGGGGTTGTATTATATATGATGTGTTTTTATAGGAATATGGAGTTGAGTAGGTAATATGGGAATAATTGGGAATTTAGCATGAGATAAAAGGTTTAAATATATGAATATGTATGTATGTGTGTACATGTGTATGTTGGGTATGATATTACTATGAAAGGAAACATTTATGCGTGCTATACTTGATGGAACATTTATGTGTGCTATACTCGATGAATTATGGTTCTTTATATCAAATATGTAGTTGTGGATATGGGATTGAGAATGAAATATATATGTATAGATGAGCAAGATTGGATTATAATGGCATGATTGGTTATACATTTGAGCATATATTCATAGATGATATTGAAGTAGTATGAGAAACATGTTTGAACTATAAAATATTATATGAAATTGGGGTTGTATTTTATATGATGTGTTTTTATAGGAATATGGAGTTGAGTAGGTAATATGGGAATAATTGGGAATTTAGCATGAGATAAAAGGTTTCAATCTGTGAATATGTATGTATGTATGTACATGTGTATGTTGGTTATGATATTACTATGAAAGGAAACATTTATGCGTGCTATACTCGATGGAACATTGATGTGCGCTATACACGATGAATTATGGTTCTTTATATGAAATATGTAGTTGTGGATATAGGATTGAGAGTAAAATATATATGTATAGATGAGCAAGATTGGATTTTAATGGCATGATTGGTTATACATTTGAGCACATATACATAGATGATATTGAAGTAGTATGAGAAACATGTTTGAACTATAAAATATTATATGAAATTGGGTGTTGTATTATATATGATGTGTTTTTATAGGAATATGGAGTTGAGTAGGTAATATGGGAATAATTGGGAATTTAGCATGAGATAAAAGGTTTCACGGGGATAAAAGTTAGATATTTTTGCTTAGTAGACGAGATTTGACTTCACTCGTTACCATATTAGTATTGATATAGTTAATACATTATGATTTCCAACAGGGAGACTAAGCACTCTTATACAACTCCCGGTAGCGATTTTTCCCAAGGAAGTTACATCGAAATGGTCGGCCCGTATGTGGTAACACAAGTGTTCCCATACGGGGTGGTCGAGATCTCCCACCGAGAGAAAGGAACTTTCAAAGTGAATGGACACCGCCTCAAACGTTACATTGGAGGAGAGGTAACGTCTCAAAAGGAGGTGGTCTTACTACAAGATGCTTGATCCGGAGTCTCCGTCTAGCTAACGACGTTAAAGTAGCGCTTGTTGGGAGCCAACCCAACGAAGGTTAGCAAGTTTGTACTTCTACTACTATCGTATTGTGTTGTGTAATAACCTCGCCTTGAGCGAGTCATATTGTGTTTGTGTGTGTGTGTTTTGTCTTTTCCTTGAAGCTCCAAATCTCCTACCCCTTGAAATAATTCCAACTTTCACTCACCAAGCAAAGCGATAACGTCGTTCTACCCTTATATTACGCCATTGAGGGCAATGTCGAGCTTAAGTGTTTGGAGGGGTAGTCTATTATTATGCTTGTGTGAGTGTGATTAATGTTTGGAGCCTTGATTTATGCCCAAATTTGAAAATTTTGAGGGCTCCAAGCAATATTTGCGTGATCAAAGTGGCCAGTTTGTAGGAGAATCTTGTGGTTATTGGCTTTGACATTGAACTGTTGCATGTGATCGAGTACTTCCTATGATGATTATTGAGAGGTGAATTAGGATAGTGCAAATGTTTAGTTCTCATGTGTGCAAAAATCAATGGATGTTTTGACTCGATTACTTGTTGATTACAATTGCCATGCATGTTGCTTTGTGAATTGGAATAGATGGATGGGTGACTAGGTAGCCATGTGAGCTTTGAGTCGATCGTTTTCTTTTTGTGTGCTTAAATCCCTCTTACCATGGCGAGTAACATCACAGTTGTCACTAGCGAGTATGATGGAGGCATAGGATTAGTCCACGCCCAAATGTTGATTGTCCCGAAATAATTTATCCACTAGTCAACCCCTTTGAGCCTTGTGACTTTCGGGGTCGTTCTCATGTTAGGAACTTTTTTCTTGTGAGCTTAATGGTGTTGATAGAATGACCCCCATCCTTTCTTCATGTCTATACGTGTGTCATCCTTGTGTCCCGGAGCTCTCGCCTTTGAGCTCCATTGAGGTTTTACATAAGAGGATTGTGTGCGGTTCTTGCTAGGAACGTAAGTGAAAGGAAGAGTAGTGTTGGAGTGAGTCTTAAAAAGAGAGCTTTGATCGTTAAAAGTAGTGTGGAAAATGTTTAACTCTCTAGTATCCCCTCAAAAAGAAAAGAAAAGGAAAGGAAAGTAGAAAGAAAGAAAAAGATAGAGAAACGAAAAAGAGGTAATAAAACGAGGTGAATAAAGTAGAGAGTGCCACAAGGAATCAAAGAGTATGCTCTAGGTGAGGTTTCTTGGCACACAAGCCATTGAAACCTCCACATTGTCTTAGAACTTCTTCACTACCAATTCGAAATGTGATAGCAAGAGTAGACCGAGGAAGAGCGCTTATGGGAAGTTCATGATGGGTGATAGTTTGGAAGGGAAAAGCAAGGGTTTTGGCCGATGCTAGTGGTCGTTGTTTGTAAGGAAGGTTCTTAGTCAAAACCATAGAACCTTCAGTTTTAGGGTGAAGATGTAGGGTCTCATGATGTGTTTGCCATCACCCAAAAAGCATTTTCCCCATGTCCAAGACAATCGCCAGTCATTTGAACTCGTGTGTATGACCTCCGGACTAGCTAGTGATGACAACCATTCCGTGAACTCTAGAGTTTAGAGGTTGCCGCCATGGTGTTGAGATGATAGGGCCGAGAGTTGATGATTGTGCACATTCTTTGCACAAAAAGGCCCCGATCCCAATGGCCAAGAGAGTAAGCGATTCATTCTTGTTTTGCATGTCATATCATACCTCGGTGAGGACCTTTGTTTCCCATCCGTTTGTTCCTTGGACTTGAACTCTATGCATGGTTAGTTGTGTTTGGTAAGTGATCTTGTTGAAACTTGCATTGATTCATGAACAAGGTGAGAACTTTTCATTTGCCCGTTTCTGGTAGCCTCAAATGTCGTTTGTGGTGGATGTCGATATTGCTTGTTACGATCCTTGTGTTAATTGCCAGTAGCCATTTGAGATTCGCCACTTTGTGCCCTTTGATATGTCCCAAAGAATTTTGATAGGTTGAGATATTACCTTGAGTGAAATGGTTTCCTTGGGGCAAGCAAATGTCTAAGTGTGGGGGAGTGATTCGGGTCTAATTGCACACATTTTATCCCCGTTTCCTTTGGGTGTTTGAAGCATTTGAACTCCTAAAATGGTGGTTTTACGCTAGTTTTTTGTGCGTTATAGTGTGTTTCAGGATCCAGCAGTTGAAACCAGCCCCAAAGTCGAAAGTTGGACGAAAGGGGGCAAAGACCGGGCAAAGAGGGTAATTCAGGCAAGGTTCATGGTTTCCCATTAGAGTTCACGGTCTCCTATGACCGTTAACTTAAGCCCAAAACCGTGAACCGCGAAGCGTCCAGGGAGAATTCTACAGTTATTGACGCAAGGCGAGTTCACGGTCAACAAGACTGTGAACTTTGAGTGCAAACCGTGAACTCATGTGATTGAAGCGGTGCATTTCGACACAGCACTCTGAGTTCACGGACGCATTGCCGTAATCTGAGGCCGTGAACTGAGCCCGATCCCAGTATATAATGTGATCTGAAAGGAAGAGAGAAAGAGAGCCCCAAGATTGAGAAAGTATCTTCTTCGGATTTTAGAGAGAGAAAGGACGAACCAAGGAAGAAAGAATATAGGGTTTGCTCCAAGTGGTGAATTGGGAAGAATCTCCCTAAGAGAAGATCAACAAAAGCTCAAAGGAGATTGGAGGCATCACCATAATGGTTTCTATTTCTTTCTCTTGTGTTCTTACCCTTTCTAGCATGGAGTAGTACTTTTTTCACTTGGGTGTTGTGAAAGTCTAACTATTTGCCATGTAGTTGTATTGTGACTTGAATGATTGTTTGTGGGTGTTGTTTAGTTTAATGATTGAGGTATTTTTCATGATGATTGTGCATGTGTGTGCTTAACAATCCAATTGACCATTCTAACCTAGGTTAGAGGGGAAACCCCCCTTTCCAAAAGAGGCTCAATTGAGTTGGGATTTCTTGGGCTTTATAAGCCACCTACCTAGGTTAATGTAGGTCAAACCTCTATCTTGAATTAATCAACTAGGTTAATCATGATTAAGCCGTCCAACCTTCGGTTTGAGGGAGAAGGTAAGTCAACCCTTAATTGTCTTAACCAAGAGGGTTACTCTTGTAGCCTATAATTATTCCTTGGTTTGGCAATTGAGAGTGTGGTCTTAGACCATAGTTGGACCTCCTAGCGGTTCATGATTTCCTTTCCCATACTTGCATTCATGTATGTAATATTTTTTATTTTTGGGGGTAAAGCAACAATACGCAGCGCAACACTAGTGAGTAGGGAGGGGGGATTCGGTATCGGTAATACCGATTTACCGTCGGTATTTACCGATACCGTGCCCGGTAAACCGACTCCCCTAACTTCCCGCTCGGCTACCGATACCGCCGGTAAACGGTTTACCGGATTACCATTTACCACCCCTAGCTATAATGTTTCAAACAATGGAAGTAGGGGTATATGGACCGACCCGGGTTGATATTTAAAAATACTTGCCCTATATTGCACCCATCTAAGATTTATACTTGGGCCTTAGGTTTTTGTTGTGATATTCGGGACGAGTAACTCAACTCTCTTTTCTCCATAGCTTCGAGCGTGCTTTTCTTGATATTTGCATTTCGATCCTCCACTTCTTCTGAAAAAACTTTTATTTGATATGAAAACCTAAGGTATGATTCCTTCTTATTCATCTTTTACTTTATACATGCAGTTGAAACCACTACAAGACAACCATGGTCAATTGCAAACCTGAAATTGTTTGTTGCTTAACATGAAAATGAAATAATCACAAACTTATATGTAAAGTAAACCGTGATTCAAAATGGAATGAAACAACATCTCATAAGAGTGATGTGTTGATGAAGCAAAAAAGATGTGCCTTAATAACTAAGCCTCCCTCGTTTCCATCCGCAATCTGCGCGGGTTCAATTCCATTGGTCAACTGTGCAATTTTGGATTTCAATTCTCCCTGTTCTCTCCCCAGCAAGCCGGTGGGAAGAGATTGTGCAAACCAAGCTTGGACAAGTGACAGTGAAATGGTGCAGGGGATAAAGATTTGGTAAACAAATATGCTAATGGATAAGAAGAAGAGACATGAAGAAGCTTGATGACTTTGGCCTCCAACTTCTCATGAACAAGATGAAGTCGAGTTTGACATGTTTAGTGCGCTCATGAAAGTTGAGATTCTCTTCAAAATATATAACACTTTTATTGTCACAAATATAGAGTAGCAGGTTGAGAATGAGAGACCTTGAAATCATCTATAAGGAATAGGAGACATTGTAGCTAACAAGTTGTGAAAGCAAGAGCACTATACTCTACTTCACAAGAAGATCGACTGATTGTTTTATGCATTTTGCTTTTCGTGGAAATAATAAAATCACCAAGGTAGACACAATAACCAGAAATGGAATGTCTAGTGTCAACAAAAGCATTCCAATCAGAGTCAGTAAAGGCTTTGAGTTGAAGAGTACCCTTGGCTTGAAACAAATAGCCCAATAGCTTGAGCAGGTTTGAGGTAACGTAGAATCCTATCAACAAACTTGTAATTAATTGTGCTAGGACTAGCCATGAATTGTCTCACCTATTGAGTGGCATAGCTAATGTCATGACGAGTGGTTGTGATGTGAATCAGTTTACCAACCAATGTCTTGTAATGTTCTGGGTCCTCATATGGTGTATAACATACATTGCTCAAATGGAGTTTGTAGTCCATAGGAGTAGAAACATTCTTCGAGTCTAGTAGGTTGGCCTCTTCAATGATTTATAGAGTATACCTCCTTCGAGAGAGATGATCAATGCATTTTTCATTGCGAGCTACTTCAATCCCAAGAAAAAATATGAGAGTTCCCAAATTATTGATGTTCAATTCATTATGAAGTGAGTTCTTCAGATTAGTGATTTCATCTAAATTATTACTGCCAACAATTAGATCATCTACATAGATGAGTATGCAAGTATATCTGAAAGGAGTAACCTTGTAGAAGAGAGTGTGGTCTGCTTTGCTCTAAAAGCCCTGTTCTTATGTTAGTTTATCTCTAAGTTTGGAGAACCACTGCCTTGAGGCCTACTGGAGACCATATTAAGATTTCTTCAATCAAAATATTGGGTTCTGAAAAGCTGCTGGTGGAGTGTAGTCCTTAGGCAAAGTCATGAAACTTCCTAGAGATCTCCATGAAGGAAAGTCTTAGTCACATCCAACTAGTGAATATGCCAATTTATGATTACAATGACAACCAAAAAAGTCCTAACTGTGGTCATCTTGATGATCTGAGCAAAAGTGTCTTGGTAGTCCACCCCTTCTTGATGTGTGTTACCCTTAGCCACCAATCTAGCCTTGAATCTATCTAAAGAACCATCATGGTGAAATTTGATTCGATAAATGCACTTGTTGTCAATTGTTCTCTTTTGCTTGAGAAGTTCAACAATATCCCAAGTATGGTTTTTAGCCAAAGCTCCTAACTCCAGAAACATAGCAGAGGACCATTGGTCTGAATGGGATGCTTCATTGCAAGTATTCATCTCAATGTGAGATGAAATACCGAGGAAACATTTATGATGAGGAGCAAGAGTATGGTATAAAAGAACATAAGAAAGAGAGTACATTTTATCTAGAACCTGGAGTGAAGTTGAATGACTGGAGTTGCTAGACAGTTGTAACTTGTAAGAGAGAGCAGGGGTAGTCTTTAGTAATGTGAGAGGGTGTTTTGGAGGGTAAGTCTGATATGCAAAGGTGATGATGTGGTGATAGAAGAGGGGTAGATATAGGGGTAGGGTTGTGTGGAGAGTCTGAGTTAGAGGGTGATAAAGGGGTTGGAAGTGGAACATGTGTGGGTAATAGGGGTGTTGGCTATGCTTCAGAAGGAAGGTTTGTCAAGTCATCAAATGGTGGTAGATAAGATGTTGGATGAAAAACCAACATTGCTAACTAAGGACTTAAAAGGGAACGGGCTTTCATAGAAAACCACATCTATGGAGACATATGTGTCATGAGTAGTCAGGTCATATATCTTGTAACCTTTTATGCATGGGTGAAACGAATAAAACCTCCTTTTCTAGCTCTAGGTTGGAACTTGGTTCGATGGTTATATAGAGTAATTGCATTACATAAACAACCAAAACAAATTAAGTTGGACAGATCTGGTTGTTTGTTATGCAACAATATTTCATATGGACTTTTGATGTCAAGGATGGTGGATAGTACTCTACTGATAAGAAAAACAATGTTTGACACAATGTCCCTGTTAGAGATAGATTAGGAATAATCTTATATTTCATTGTTCTTCTAGTATAGTTATTAGTATTTTCTTGTCCTTTTAGTATTGTGGTTCTCTTACTTATTGTCCAAGTCTTGTAAGCTATATATTCCCCTTTGTGGTTTCATAATAATACAAGCTACAAGTTACAAGTTACTCTTCCTAAAACTTCTATTTGGTGTCAGGGCCTTTAGCTTAACAGCCTTGATCCAAGAATCCTAAGCTCTTTTTTTCTTTTTCTTGTCCTGGTCATGAGTCAGAACTCACCTAGTTTGCTTGTTCTTTAAGCAAATTCCACACCTTGTATCTCTCAATCGTTGTTTCATGTTTTTTGGCCAGTTGCCTTCTCGACGCCTTATTATATGATGGATCCCTTTTTCTGCCAAAAACTTGTCGGAAGGTCAATTTGAAGCATCAAGGCTCTAGCAATAGCTAAGATGTTTTTGTGCTTCCAAATTTGCTATTTTGATGTGGTGTTTGAACACATGATATTTCATGAATGATTCCTTTGTTATTGTAGTGACCATCCATTTGAAACTCTTTCCCCTTATCAATTGTAATTCTTTTTATTATGGTGTTGAATTGTCTTTCATTATGCAAACAATTTTGCTTTGGCTTCATACTTCAGTTCTAACAAAAGAATCCAAGTCATTCTTGTATAATCATCAACAATAGTAAAAAAAATACTTGTAACCATCAAAAGTGGGATTTGGATTAGGACCCCAAATATAAAATGAATCAATTCGAAGGATTGATACGTTACTGATTGACAGGAAATGAAAGTCTCACTTGCTTGGCAAATTGAAAAACATCACTTGGCATATCTTTGAGAGTTTGATGGAGGTACAAAATTTGGTTGAGGTGTTCAAATTTTAGAATTGGAAAAATGACCTAATCGAAAATGCCCCAGATCGAAGCGGGTTTCCCTAGCAGAAATGATGTACTTAGGTCTATAATCTACTTCTAGGTGATAAAGGCCATTGATGAGTGTAGCAAAACAATCATTTTCTTCATCTCCAAGACCTATATAAGATAAAAGTCAGAGTAAAAGGTCAAGCAGAGGGGTTTTTTGGTAGTCAATTTGCTAACTCAAATGAGGTTGAAGGTGAAATGTGGTACAAAGAGAAAATCTTGGAGTATCATATCATCATTGCATCTTTTTGTTCTTATGTGAGTTGCCTCTACTTGATCTCTAGTAGGCAGTGTAATGAAAACACTATTTATCTTTCTGTAGTGAACAAGATATCCAAAGAGCATACAATGTGGTATGAAGCTCCTGTGACCAGGATCCACATTGTGTGTTTCTTGAATGTGTGTGAATGGTTAGGAGCAGATAAATTATATTTACCTGATTCCTTTGAACTGTTAATATATGATGTTGTAGTAAAGGAACCACCAGATGATTTTTGATTGATCGGATTAATCAATTATTCATAATTTGTGTTACTAATGGATGGAAAACATCTAGTCCTTTGTGTGCCCATGTATCTTGTAATAAGAACACTCTAAAATCTTGCATTGCATTGCCATGTCCCTTGAGTCTATCCCAGGTGGCAATCCATGTGTGTGGTAATAGACCTATTCTGTATGACCTTCTCTTTGCAATAAGTACAGAATGGCCTCTTTCCATATAGACTTGGCATTTTTTTACCAGCTTGTGTAGCCATAGTTGTTAAGTCAGTTGCCATAG